AATTGATGGTCTGTTCCACAGTCTGCCCTGGCCTTGTTTTCACTGATGATACGGAGCTTTTCCTTCGTCTCTTTCCACAGATGTAGTCAATTTGATTTCTGTGCATTCCATCTGGTGAGGTGCATGTGTGTGAGTAGGGAATGTGTATCCTTTCTCCTTTATTTGGTTAGGAGAGGTAAAAGGTTAAGGACTCTGGAACTTTGTGGCAGGCCTGCTTCTTCATAGACACTCGTCAGCTTTTAAGCATTTATTTAGACATGTGTGATGCTGCAGAATAAGTAATAGATTGTTAACCACAAGGTTAGTGGTCCAAGCCTACCAGTTGCTCCTTGGAAACCCTATACAGGATTATTATGAGTCAAAACTGACTCAGCAGCACTTAAGAACAACAGCAATGTATTATGGTTACATTTATTTCTTTGTCATTTTTTTTAAATGAAAAATAACTTCAGATTTATTAAAAGTGAAAGAAAAAATATTTGGTCATTTCTGCCCTTTTATAAATTGTAAGTGGGTTGTTCTCATTGACTTGAAGGATATGAAATGTTTCTTCCCTAAATTTGTTAAACACTACTCATTGATGACTTTCTCTTTTTGATTTTTGTTCTAGAAAGAATTCCATCATCTGTGCAATCTTGAAGCAAAAGAAGACATCAACCTCTGAAGATCAAGGCTAAAATGAAATTTAAAATGTTTCCCAAGGAAGAACAAAGCTTGACTTTTCTAACTGTTTATTTCCTAACACTAGGGCTGTCTGCCTGTCAGAACTGCCCCACTAAAAGTCTAGATGATGTTGTCATTGACATTCAATCATCTCTTTCTAGGGGAATCAGAAGCAATGAGCCCATATATACCTTCACTCAAGAAGACTGTGTTAATTCTTGCTGCTCAACAAAAAACATAGCAGGTAAATAATAATTTTAGCATCTGTTCATTCCATTTGATGGTAATATAAATGGCTGGCTAAGGTAGCTGAATAGTTTATACCAATTATTCTCAATAGTTGTTGCTGTTGTTAAGTGCCATTGAGTCTATTGTGACTCATAGTGACCCTGTATAGGGTTTCTGAGGAGCAGCTGGTGTGTTTGAACCACTGATTTTGCAGTCCAGTGCTTATCTTGCAGTGCCACCCCAGGGTTCCATTCTCAATAGGGTGGGTAGCAGAATGACTTGGAGATACGATCCACAGTGGGGCCAGTGGTGAGTCCGCAGTAGAATTGTCACCTTCCATGTTGGAGACCCAGGTTTGAGTTATGGCCAGTGTATTTTATCAGCAGCCACCACCTGTCTACCAGTGGAGACTTGTTGCTTTGATACAAGCAACAGATTTTAATGGCACTTCCAGACACAGACAGATTGGGAAGAAATGCCTCACAATCTGCTCCGTAATCAGCCAGTGAAAATGCTGTGGATCCACATGTGGTCATGGAGATGATCTGAGATTGGACATTATTTCATCCCATTGTACATGGGATTGCCATGAGTAGGGGATGGCAGCTAACAACAACATTAACAACTTATCTATATATGTGCCCTCCCTCCCCTAAGTTGAAAGTTTAGTCAAGGTTGAGTGTATGTGTATCCCTCAGATGGCTGAATAGAAGAAAGATTGAGATCCAAAGTGTCCCCTAAAAGAATAGTATTGCAGAATTATCACGCTGTTAGAAAAGGAAAGGCTCGAGTATCTGTCTTGTAAGATAGGTAGTGTAGAAATGACAAAAGTAAACCCCCTTCTATCTTATTCTGCACAAGAAAGCAGAGCAGGAGAGCTGGGATTGACTAGAATTGGTTGATGGCTGGCAGAACACATATTTGTCATGATGCCGGTGGTTCTATGCAAATAATGTGCACATTGTATGGGATTTTGTAAACCCTCTCACACTAGTTTCCTATTTCTGTGGCAGCATTATATGCAAAAAATGTGGTAACCTATGTTCTCACCATCCATTCCTTAGAAACCCTGTACTGGGTCACTGTGAACCAGAATCAACTCGACAACACATAACAACAATATATTCCCCCAAAGCCTTCAACCTTACCACGATATGTTGTTGTTGTTGTTTTTAAGTGCCATCGAGTCGGTTCCGACCCATAGCGACCCTGTACAGGGTTTCCGAGGGTGTAAATCTTTACGGGAGTAGAAAGCCTCGTCTTTCTCCCGCGGAGCGGCTGGTAGTTTCAAACCGCTGACCTTAAGGTTCGCAGCCC